ATTAATAATAGGAAGTTGGTTTAAAGTTGAAGGAATCTAAATGCATATTTAGGTCCAAGGACACGAGTTATCTTGGGTACCATATTCTTCTTAAAGGTTTGCAAGTTAATCTTAATAAACTTGTGGCTATTCTAAAGTTCCTTACTTCAAAGTGTGTGAATGATGTGAAGTGCTTTTTAGGCAAGGTGTAGTATCTCAATCATTTCATTAATCATTTTTCTAATCATACTACACTGTTGCAAGTGTTGTTGAAGTCATCAACATTGTTTTCATTTGGTTTATAAATTGTGAGCAGGCATTTATAGATCTCAAAGAGTTGTTAACGACTCCTCCAGATTTAGTATATCTTGACTACATTTACCTTTCATTTTGCATGTGGATGCTTTTGATATCAGTCTTGAAAGTATGTTAATGCAAGAGAATCTGAGTGTGTTTAGTTAGTGCCATCCCATTATATACATCAACTATACATTACAACTAATAGAGGTGAACTACTCTATAATTCAGGAGTGTTTAGTAACAATTTAGGGTTTCAAAAAGCTTTATGTATATTTGCATGGTTTTTAGACATTACTAAAAGGTGATTATATTATGGTTACTTTGTTATTAAAGCGAAAGAACTTAGTTGATTATACTATAATTTCAAAGTTGTTTATCACTTAAGGAGTTCTATAATTGATGCTAATGCTCTTTCTTAAACTCCTCTCCTTTTTTGACTCTCTTCTCCTATTTCTAATGAGTTTGTTGTTTTAGCATTAATGGATTTTTAGACGAGGATGCTATGCCATTGGTGGTTGTTATACATGATGTTTAGTGTTCATAAAGTGTGGAGCAAAATTTGCCTTTTCTTGACGAGGTTCGTGAGGTTCAAAAAGTTAAGCCATGGATCCAAAGATTTTGTGATGGGTTTGAAAATCTTGCATCACTTGCTAATAACTTGTTATTTCAGGATTTATAATCTTAATATCACTTTGAGGATGACTTTCTTTATTTTGTTAACACTGATCTTGATGATCATTTATGGCTGATGGTGCCTTTAATATTCATTTCACACTTTCTCTATGTTTATCATAACTCTCCTATTCTAGATAGGCATATAGGATATTGGCGTTTGATTTAAAAGCTGCACAAGTCTTTCTATTAGCTAGAGATGTTATGTAATATTATTTGGTATGTGCGTAGTTATGATTGGTGCCAACCCCTTTAAACTACAAAAGGACGATTGGAGTCAATTGCAATTTCTCGTCCATTTGAGTTGGTGGCATTTAATCTTATAAGGCTTTTTCCACAATCAGTTGTTAACAATGAGTACATCATTATTACCTCTGACTACTTGACTCATTAAGTGGAAATCAATGCTCTTACTAGTGCATTAACAATTGCTATTAGGTACTTGCTCCTCAATTGAGTGGTGTTTCAACATTCTTGTTTGGAGCGGATTTTTTCAGATAGTAGTCCCATATTTATGGTTGACACAATGCATGTTTTAACGTCTTGGCTGGACATATACCACACTTTCATGAGTGCTTCCACAAATAGATGGCTTTGTGGAATGGTTTATTTGGACCTTCAAAGGGATTATTGAAAAGTACATGAACTTTTAGCATTCAGATTGGGATAGTTATTTTCTATCTCTTTAGTATACATATATTACAGGGGTATAGAGTTTTGTTAATACTTCACCATATAAACTCCTATATGGTCATAATCCAATCTATTAACAGAATTGGGTTTACCTACCACAAGTTGTTGATGCTAGGTTTTGGGATTAGTATTTAAAGAGCATTCTGCCATTTGTCCAAGAGGAATTTACTGAACACTTAGGCTACATACATGTGGGACAATAACAGTGTTACAACTCCAATCATCATCCATCTACAAAGTACAAAATGGACAATTTAGTGTTGGTCTATTTCCTAATCTTACAATAGGTGGTTTGTGTAAGGATCTTTTTACTCAATGGAAGAGACTATATTAGGTGTTGCAGCAAGTTGGACCACAAGTTTATAAGGTTCAGCATAATATTCAATAAGCCAATCTTGCAGCAATTAAAACACTTTATACAAAGGGATTAAAAATAATTAACACTATTTACAAATCTATCAATGCCTCCTCCTCCTAATGTTCCTCCAAATCCCAACCCATTTACGAAAGAACCATGACAGTTTTCTATCATTCTGAGTCTAAGTGTACAGCTATAATGCTATATACTAATATTAACATAGTGGGATTTTAATAGCTATTGAATTGGTTTCAATCTGGACCACTCGCTCCTGTATATAAGCTAAGGTTTTTAGGCTAATTAAAATGTATATTTTTATATTCCATACACTCACTATAATATATATATATATTCATTCTAGAATGAAGTGTCAATCATATACTTATTATCACTTTAGTATTACTAGAGTTGTCTTTGATCCTTGATAGAAAATTACTACTATAGCATTTACAATTTGACATAATCATAATTGTAGCATAGTTTGTCTATCCTCTTTTAACAGAAAAGGAGTAATTGTGTAATAATAGAAATTTTAGTGAATATTTTATTTCCAGTTATCCCTGTAGCATATGTGATCATGAAATAAAATTTAGATATATTGTCACTATGGATCCTTAGAACCTTAGGGGATAAATAGAGATAAAATAACCACTAAGGGCTCTCTCATCAAGCAATTGCCTTTTTTCCAATTGACTTAAAGGGAGAGAAATAGAGTGCATTATAATCCCCCAAGGTTCTAAGGAATTATAGTGATAATATATTAAAATATTATCTTATCATCACATCTATTAGACTCACTCCTCTTTTAAGGTGTTGATGTCACAAATATGATTACATGTATCTAAAGTTATTTATCGGCTAGTCCTGTTAGATATTCTTTCCTTACTGCCACGACAATAAAAGGTTGGTATTGCTAATCCCTTTTTCAATCTCTGCCTAAGCTAATTGAGAAACTAGTGTTTGCATATGCACTTGACCAGATGAGCACAAGGACGGAATTCCTAAATGCTATCAATTAAGCATACTTGATCTTGTTAGAGAAACTCATTTGTTAACTTGCACTTACTATTGTTGGGAACCCTTGCAATGTTGAGCTTGGTCCCTAAATGTTTGCCAAATGATAGTTTACCGTGTTTGCCAAACACTCTCACTATTATGCCCTTTATGTTAGTCTTATTTTGGTCTTAAATACTATTTATAGAAAGTGTCTAAATTCATTCATTTGGTAGGTCTATGGAATGTAGAGATTATCTTGAACACAATGGTGTTCATCCCGTATCCAAATTCGCAATCTAATGCCATTCCATATTTAATAAGTTTTGAGTTAGTCCTAGAGACTAACTCTTAGTACTAAAGGAGGCTAGGAGTGAAAGCCCAAAGTGTGTATTCCTCAAGGGGGGGTATCCAAATGTATAGTAGGGATAGTAGGTAAGTTGGGCATAGCCAACTAAGTTAAGGGATATTGTAGTTCTTGTTTGTGTGTATGTTCTTGCTCTGCATCCAGCTTGGGTCTAATCTTAAGTTCCACACCATGTTAGTTAGTGAAATACCCATATCCTTGCATTAGGCCATTGGTATGTTAAAAGAGTGCCAAACTCTATTTAGCTTCATTTTATATACTAGTTTTGGCATTAGAATGTTGGATGCTCTAGGATTGTTCTTATGTTGTTCCATACTCGTATCTTTTTGCTCTTTGGGCTGTACACTCAGGAGTCACTCTATGCTTCAATACTTTCGCTCCTTTGCTCCATATTTAAGAGTTTGGCTTTGTTCCTTCATTTAGTGGATTAAGACTTTGAAACTTGGGTTCTACACCACTATCTTTAAATATGTGGCATGTGACACATGGCATATGAGGGTTTAAATTTTTCTTCGTGATTATCCTATGATAAATCACTATAGGATAAAGGGTGAAAACCACATATGCTATAGATGATTAATATCACCATTGACAAACACCTTTTATTGAGCCAAAAATAACTAGAATCACTAAATCTATTAATCTTTCTAATTTATATAGTAATTATTCCATATGAGACAATTATATTGTTATTTCACAATAGCTTCCTTCATCAATTATTGGAAAAGGGCAATTTCTTGATAATAGAGCCTTTAGTGATATTTTGTTATCTTTATATCATTAATTATTTTTCCATATACAGACCTTCATGTTGGAAATTAAACTGAGTTTTAATTGGAGGTCTAAATAAATGGGTGTAAGCTTAGATTACTCAAATTTAAGGATATTTAACACTCTAAATATCCTAAAACTCATAGCTGATTGGAAAATAGGGTGCACTTTTGTTTATGGACCTTTTCCTTCTATATTTGAACCTTAATAGATATTTTAACATTAAATAATAAATATTATTTAAAATACTAAAATAATAATTAATACAATTCATTCTATTAATGAATTGAATTTCAACTAAATTAACTACAAAAATATGATATTACAAAATTTTAAACTTCCCAAAACATAAATAATTTGTCATTAATATGATTATTTATTTATAAATTATAAAACTATTTATATTAACATATAAAATAATAAATTGCTATGTGTTGAATGTAGCAACACTTGGTTTGCTTAATAGTGTTATTCTTACTTATTAATTTAATTGATCAAATAAAATTTATAATTATAAGCATGTTTGTAATTTATAAACACAAAATTAATCTTATTTTTTATTAATTATTAGATGGTAGAATAAAAAGGAATATACTAGAAAGGGTATAAGAAAGTTTATAATTTATAAATACAAGATTAATCTAAATGAATAACAACTGTTAAATGGTAGAATATCCTAGAATATCCAAGCACATTCTAAGTATATTCACTACCATCAATAAGTTTGCTTAATCATTAAATTGCCCTAATTTAAAGTTTCAATAAAGGTGTGATAATTTGAGACTAATTGTTTGCATGCTACAGATTTCAGTAACAAAAGACAATGAATGTGTCAAGAAGCCATACGAACTTGTAAAAAATTCAAAGGACAGAATGGAAATCATGGTTTAGTTTTATGACCATTGTTGGTGGAAGATTTTCTACAGAGGAGTAATGAAAAGTAGAGCAGGATTCGGTAAGCAAGAGCCATGGCAGCCAGAATCCACAAATCCATCCATTTCCCAGAGCTCGAGTCCCAGCTTGCATACCTCTGCCGCAGAAAATCTCTTCTACTCGAGTATTCGTTCTCCAAAATTCCCTGGAGAGAGAAAAAAGAGATGAATGAGATCACTCAAGGCTTTCAGTGGTCGTGCAAATACCTCGACGGCGTACGTGTGGAATGCAGCATACGAGGCAGGATACTTCCACACAGTCTTTGGAACTTGATCGAGTTCTCGAAAGTGTCCGCCAGAGAGCATCATCAAAACCTGCAACAAAAGAGAATATGTTCTTGGCTCTTTGATTGAAACTTCCAGACCTGGATGGTTGTGGCGACGAGGATGGCAGCAAAGACGTTGAGCGTGACGGAAGTGATGAC